AAATCGGCATGGTGTGAAAGGACCCTAAGAACCCTTGTATAAGATATAAGTTTGCCAAGAATTAACAGGTAATGGAGATGCAATGCACTGCATTGAACTGGGAAAAAAAAGATTTACCTCTGGCAAAGCTTCCTCTGAAGCCGAGAAGAAGTAAGTATAGACAATAAGTTCAGCAGCGACATCGTTGTACTTCTCCTGCAAACAGGAAGAAAGAAATGAGCTTTCCACTTGTTTATCTCACAGCCTTTCATTGTTTTTAGTTGCTATAAAAAGTGCAGCATAGGTGTGATTTTTATTTATTCAATCTATTTTTTTTACAGCACAGTGTCTGTTCTGAGAAAGCTTGGAACAAAAACCAAGTCTCATTTCATGGGTGGTGCTTACTTTAAGAAGAGAGTCTGCCCCGACGTACACAAAAAGAACGTCGTGCCGCTTCAACATGTGCTCAAACATCTGCTTGCTGGGAAGAGCCCGAACGGCTGGTCTGAAGGAAGAAAAACCCACACAGAATCATTCATTCTGATGGCTATTTAAATCAAATGAAGGCAGGGAAAACAAGGCCTTCCAGTAAAGTCGGGTTGTTGATTTCTATACTGATGGCACCACCTAGTGGAGGTTTACTACAAAAGAAAAAAAAAAAACTGCTACCCCGCTCTAGTTGGGGCCAAGCTTTTGATCATCCCCTCTGTCATGGATTGAGCTTGATTTCCCCTGAAGGAGGAGAAAATCTGTCATCCTCGCTTTGTGCAGTGGCTTAAAGTGGAGCACCAGAGGCAGAAATCCACTGAGCTACGAAACAAGTGTGTTCTGTGTTGATAAGCAGCCTTGGACAGCTTTCAATGGAGCAGCATGTGGCACGTTGGAAATAAAAAGGAAGTTCTGCTAAGTTCTTAGCTTCATGTCACATTGTTTTTGGTCCAACACTCACCCCGCCACCCTGTTGGCAAACTCCACAATATCGTCTTTTGTTCTGGGTCCCTTGTAGCTGTAGGCAAGGTCGCCCTTTAACCTAGACAACACAGACATAAACCGTCACTTGCTGCTTTTACATTATTTAAATCAACTTGTTATGGTTAATGAAAAATACTGATCTAATCTAAAGTAATGCGTTTACATATAGATCCAGATAAAGCAGCATCAAATGTTATCTAAACCATTAGTACATCAGGTTTTCTACATATTTTAAAGTCCAGGTTCAACCTCTCAGATTTGTGATCATATAAAAATACGGTAATAAAAGATGTAGATTTGTATTGCAGGCATTTCCACTCCAGGAAGTTTCTACATTTAATACCTGAGGGGAAAAAATAAACTAGAAGGAAACAATGAGAAATAAAAGCACACAGGAAGAGAGGAAGAAAAAAAAAAAGACACCATGGAGGTAGGACAAAAGGAAGGGAAGATTGAAGGACACAAGGACGTGAAAGAAATTACACAAGAGGGAAATAAAAATGCAAGGTGGACAATAGGTTGATACACTATGTCATTCTACTTGTCCTGAAAATAATAAAAAAATCTCCTTGTAGAAAATTTTATTTCTTGAAGACATTTTTTTTTTTATCTTTGTCCTACTTCATTATTAAATACCATCCATTTTCAACAAATTAGAACATGTGTTCCGATGAGGCTTTTTTATCCAAGTAAAGGTTTCCTTTAAACATAACCTCTAAACAGGCAGCAGGGCTTGATGTTAACCATTGCCCGATCTCCCGGGGCAAGTAGGTTTTATTGTTGGGAGAGTACAAATTTGATCGCCAAAAAAATTATTTATAACTCAAAATTATTTTTAAAATCACCGACATTCGATAAAAACGACCCAGAAGCGTTGCCGGCGCCATTTTTGTTGTTTTGTACACAGTCTTGGTTGATTTGAAAAAGCCGGATGATTTTCCGCCAGATGGCGTGATTTTTGTGCACAAAGTGGGAGTTTTGATGTAGTTACCAAAACGACAAACGGCTGCATTTATTTTTTCAGGGAAAACTAATCCTGAGTCAGTTAAAAGTCAGGGAATTCTGAAATTATGTAAGACTGTGGAAACCCTGTATAAAATAACTAATGATTCTCTAGAAAAGTCCCATTATATTAATAGTATTATCTTGCATAAACATACAGTAACTCTAAAATAAGTTATTCATTTGTGACATTGACTTCTGTCTTGTGATTTATCTTAAGTTTTTAACCTGTCAAGCTTTTATAGATTTTTAACATTACAATTTATATTTTTCCAAGCACACAACAGTTTAAAGCAAAGCTTAGTTTAAAAAGAATGTGCAGGAAGGATTGAAAAGCATGTTAAAGCGGTAATGTAGGCTTGGGTTCATTATCTGACAAATGCATATACACACCAGGAACCTGTAAACTTAAAAAATACTAAATTAATTAAAATGAATATTTGGAACTATATTTATCAAACATTATACTGGGCAAGTAAAAATTGTTTCTGGGCAAATGAAATGTGAAAGTCACTTGCCCGATAAAAATCCTTAACATCAACCCCTGGGCAGCATTACACATTTCATGTTTCACTTGAATAAATTTACTGCCTTAACCTCTCAAAACCCACCGTTTTATAACTTTTACAAATAAAAACTCAAAATTCATGAAAATGACACTGGTAAAATGTTTACCAATGATGCTAGACATCATTGGAAAGCTTAGATTCTGCATAATTCATCCACCTAGTTCATTTTATGGACATAGCGAGCACCAAAGCACAATTAACACAGATATAGCAGCATGGCAAAATGTACCACGACAAAGAAGCAACAAGCAAGCATGTCTTAATTACTGCTGTTCAAAAAAAAGATTCTTTTCGAGAATAAAAAAAATAACATTTAGACATGTTTGAGCTGATGCAGCTTGGGTGTTTTACTCACCCAATTTTCATGTATTTATTCAGAAACTAGAAGGTGTTAGCTTTCGATTATTGTATCACACATGTAATGTGGACTTAAAGTTCCTCAGTTATTTGCTGGTATGCAAAATAGGCGAGAATTTCCCAAAATGAGGTGGATATTAAGAGGTTAAAAGAAGTTCTTACAGTAAAGAGCATCCATCTGCTGTCAGGTAGACCTGGGATTGCTAACATCTGGTAAGCTGCTGTTTTAAAAGCACTTTACAAGTAGGGTGGGGGGACTATAGACTGCCAATAATGCTGCAACAGAGCAGCCTGACAATCTGCACCACCAGTAGGAGGAAGACAGATTGTAACCGGCAACCTACCGCACAACAAACTACCGTACTTCCTAAAGCCCTCATGAGATTGCATTAAAGAAAAAAACACTACAATGGTTCAATCATTCCACCTATTTGTGTTTTTTTTTTTTTTAATAAGGGATGTTGAATCCGTAATGTTATATGTTAATATATATTTGGGGATTTTATCTTAAAGTATAGATCTTTACTTATCTGTTTTAGATCCATAGAAACTTTGTCCTCATGTTGTAGTGCTTTGTTATGTATACAGTGATGAGTAAAAAGATCTGATTTAGCTTTAAATTGGTAAATAATTTGGCTGCACAGAAATAATGATTTATTCTCTATCACCCTTTGCATTAAGGCTTAAAATTATGTATTAGACAACTTCTAAGATTATCGATGGTTTAGGCAATAAAAGCTCTTAATCCAACTCAGGTTTTATACATGAGATTCAATAAAGAAAAAAAACACCTGTCACACTCCCCCCCACTTCACAGAAGCCTTGCTGCATATTCATCAGCTGTCGATTAATGCTGTGACTCTCACTGCCAGTCGGATCCAAAAGGTGAAGGTTGGCTTTGAGAGACTCTGGAAGCAACTGGAATCTGATGAACTCATTAACATGTTGGTGTGATGATGCCAACCTCCCCTGCTGCTCGCAGCCATTAGGCCGGGCGCGAAGTCACCATCAATACTCTGAGATGTCGTGGCATTTCAGTAAAGCTCAGCTGGTATTCTGGGGCTTAATCTGTGTCAGAAAAGAACAGCCTACCTCTTCACACCCTGTTAACATCAACGCTATGACTCATGGGAAGAAACACAGCGGTCTAAGGGAAACCAGCTGTTTGACCGCGTTTGGTATCCATACATCAGAGCCAAAAGATTAATAAATGACATAAAGTAACACCAAAATATCAGCTATCAAAGCTCAACCAAACAGTTTTAAAAGGCTCTGTTCTTTTGGTATCTTTTTTCACACTATAAAAAAAGAAAAAAACAACTTTATATTGCTTTTTTTTGTTACTATAAAGAAAAATGGCTCCATCTTCCCAGAAACTCATTATAGAACCAGAAGGAGCAGCTTGAGGCCAACAGATCAACAACAAGTTGTTTTTTCTTCTTCTCTTCCTGACTACCTGGTACACCTTTAAGGAGGATGACTGCAAGTTAATATGCAACCTAAATGTGGTTAATGTTGACGTCGCCATCTGCTGGCACAGCATGGGCATTAAAACAGAGACAATTGGAATCTCAACAAATAAATAGATGTTTTAATTTGTCTTTAACACAAAAAAAAAAAACGCATAAGTTACAAATGGCCAATAGGAGCAGTGTCTATCTGAGACACATGAGATGTAGTATTGTTGCTTTAAAAAAAAAAAAAACAGGTTAAATATTGCTTTTTTTTATAATAGTGGAAGAATATTTTATTGTCTCCAACATTTATATTAGAATAAAAATCATACTCTATATTAAATCCAATAAAAAAACCATCTATATTTTATAGTTAAAGATATAGCTGATAGTCCAACACTTCAAAACAGTCACAAATACGTATAAACCTTCTTAGTCGCCTTTTGAACCAACAGTAAAACCTCCTCAATTAAAAACAAAACAAAAACAAGTGTTGTTGTTTTCTATTTCAACTGTTACTGTTGCCTTCATCTCAACGCCTCCCATCAAGCTTTAGCAACAACATGCTCCTCTAACCCATTCTGATGTTACCTGCAATCATTTAAAGAACCAGACTTTTTTGCTTTCTGACAATAAAATGCAGTTGGTAAAAATTTTTTTTTTTTTTTGTTGCTGTTTGTATTAAAAGAAAATCTACAAGTATGTTTATTTTTTTCAATTCTCAGCAGTTTCGAAAAACAAAGCAGTCCAAAAGTATTCATTTTTTGATCAAAGTTAGCTCAGGCTAAATTATTGTACCGCCAAACCAAATTAAAACCAAATAACTTTCCTTCCTAATGAAGTTCTTATAAAAGAAGGTGGTCGTGTCACGTTTTTCCAACAAGCAGAAAGCGTTGAGGTTTCATTAGCCCTCAGGGCCTAATGAGCTCAGGGCCAAACAACCTCTAAATCTAGTCTCCTTCTCTCATCAAGGGAGGCATCTTGCGCTCTGCAATGGCTGTTTCATCACTCTCTAGGTTTAATGTCATGAGTCCTGCCATGACCCTGAGGCAGTTTCCCAAATGAACCCGATGAAACCAAATGGGAAGCCCATTATGGCAGCGCTGCTGATAAATGGTCCGGCTTCAAACACATGGAATAGATCCATGATCATTTATTCGCATGTCATTGTGTGTTCTGCCTTTACACAGCTGCCCTCTACATAAATCCAGAGATTTGTCTCTAAACGTTCAAGGAAAACAGATGCTATCAGTGAAAATGGGGATCAGAAAATCTATGCAAATTTACTATTATAAAAAAACAAAGTCGGATTCTCAAAAAAATCTCTAAATAAAACTGAAAAATATAACCAAACCCTAAAGCTTCAGTTTATTGGACACATTGTACGGTTTCTCCCCACAGATAGATCAGTGTTTTTCAACCCTGGTCCTCAAGGCACTCTGCCCTGCATGTTTTAGATGTTTCCCAGCTTTCACACACCTGTTATCAATTGATAGCAGATTATCAGGCTTTGCTGAACTGCAATCATCTGAATCAGGTTTTCTGAACCTCAGAAACATCCAAAACATGCATAGCAGGGTGCCTTGAGGACCAGGATTGAAAAACACACTGAGATAGATAACCAAGCCTAATGAAATTGGAGTTCAAAATGTGTGAATAGAGACTGTCAGTTAGTTGTGCCTAGAGGAGAACACAACAACACCTCCTTCCCTCCTGAATAGTTAGTTATCTTGGGGCATCCCCACAGGCGGAGCCTCAGGAGATGGGACAAACAGAGGCAACAGGATTCGAGCAATGACGCTGAAAAAGAAAAACATCATAGCTACATTTTCCAAATACAAATAAAAAGAACAACATGCACCAATCAGAGGTGATCAAAGTCAAACTAAACAGCTTTATTTGATAAGTCCATATAGATTTATCAGCACTAAGTATGAGCTATTTCACTATAAAGGCATTTAGATTGTATGTATTTCTGTAAGCTTAAGTCCTTTTGATGAGAAAGCTTGACTTTACTCTGCTTTTATGAAGGTTTGCCCATTAGCCACCTGTTGCAGTGTGCAGCCACACAGCTGGATGAAAGTAGCTGACAGGATATTTAAAGTCTTTAAAGGTATGAAAGAGGATTTTTCTCAGAAATTAAGTGTTCAGATTCATCTAAAATGAATTCATTGATGGATGGTATTCTTGCACTTTTTAAACTCTGATGGTGGGGCCAACAAAACATTAGCCAATCCACTTTGCCTACTCTTGAAAGTGGATTGGCTAAATGTTAGTCAAATACTTTGCGTACGTTCCGCCATGATGTTTTTACGTGGGCTCCAAACATAACTCATAAGATGTTTATCTAGCGGTCCACCATTACGCCAAAGCACGAACAAGCACTCCTACACTTGTTTACCGTTGTGGCTTTTTTTTTTCCTGCTATTTGTTCACTCTTTTGTGTAAACTAGAGCATCAATGATCTAGTTAACACAAACTAACAAATTGTAACAAACACCAACAAATTGGAAATATAACTGGCAGTGATAACGCCAGCAGAGACCTCTTCTTCTTATGGAGATTTCCTGCTGACTAGGTGCATCTTGACACTTTGCTGCCTCTCTAGGTGAAACAATATTACAAGTGGAGGTGTTTTCAGCGTAGAAAAGTTTTGCGAAGGAGGGGGGGCACTGACGCATGCGCACGGTTCAAAACCACACAAACAGCTTTTGGACATATCTTCCACCACAGAATCCTCTTTCCTGCCTTTAAGGACAGATCAAATTGGCTGGTGGTCAATATTTTAAGTTGTTAAAAACACAAATCGCCACAAAGGAGCAACTAATCGACCGCAGATATCGGCTCATCACGCCGGGGCTCGTCTGTAAAGAACAAGGAGGTTCAACTTGAAATAAATATTCAACTAATATCTCTATATTCATGAAAATGCTATATAATTAACCTACGTTTTAACTTGAGGTTTTCAAACTATGAAAAATATAACTTTAGCCAAGCTATTCTAAAGGAAATATTAAAAACTATTTGTTACAACAGGCATTAATTGATATAACTGATTACATTTAAACAGGTCTGAAATGCAAAACTGTTTATATGATTATTTAAGTTAAAAGTCCCTAACTTTTCCCCAACTAGAATCGGGTATTACCACCATATTAGCAACTCTCCCACAGTAAATTGGCAGTAATATAACACAAAGTGTTTTACACAGGCATTTTAATCTTTATTTGCTTTTATTTTTATTCTATTTTATTACCTAATTCATGTAAAGCACTTTAAATTGTCCATGTACTGAATTGTGTTATACAAATAAACTTGCCTTGCCAGATATTCAACGCCGACCCAGCAGACAGGTGAAAAAGAAAAGGAATAAGCAAAAAGTACTAATTTACTTTCCTGCAAGGAAGACAGACTTCTCTTAAGCTTTCTTTTCTTTTAAATCACTGCCCTCCATCAGTTTTTGTCAAGTTTAACAAGTCCGCTAAATGTTTAAACTTCTGGACGAGGGATTCCTCTGTCGGTTCCTGAGAGCAGCTATTCTGCAGCATTTGGATGGATTAGTTCATAAAGACCTGATGTAAATTAAACACTTTCTTTGACAGCAAACCATTGGAAGGCTTTTAACTGGGATGTACTCGGGTTTCTGGAGAGGATGGAGCCGGTACCAAACCAATCCAGAACCTAGAAATGGACCCTAGAATGGTTAAAACTGCTGGGTTTATCTGGACCCTGAAGCTGCTGACCTTCAGTGTGAATGAATCTATCCTGTTCTACCAACATGGAAAAGGTCGAAGAGAAGGAAAGAGCAGAACATTTGAATAGGAGGAGTAGAGCAAAAAGTAATTAGGACAAATCAACACAAAAAGAGGAAATAGTTTAAAGCGTATCATAAATAGTGAAGAGGTGTAAGTGCAAAACTAAGCTTGAAAAGGTAGGTTTCATGAGGAAATATTAACTCATAGTGCAGCTTCTGCAGGGAGAGCAGAAATATCTTACTTTACATCTTCGCAGATTAAAATCGCTTTATTGTCATTTATTTAAAAATAATATTGAGTAACTTTTTCGGTTATTTATTTTAGTTCATTTGGGATCCGTTTCATATGATGAAAACCCAGTGAGCTGAACAATGATTATGAAATCTGATCGTTCCTTTGGCCACAAAGGTAAAACATCTCTACTTCCACGTCTAGTTGAATGGAGCTCAGCTGAGGTGCAGTAAATTACGGTGAAGATATAAACTCAGTCTGGATGTCTTTCCGCTGCGCTACGTTTTCCTCCAGCTCAGACACTCGGGTTTGAGCCGCACCGCAGTCAGAACCAGGTTAATAAATTAATGAAATATGTCTTACTTGATATAAGTGCCAGAAGCATCACAAACTGGATACATGTAAATCTGTTTTAATCATGCTTTCAAACAGAAAGCTTCATGTGAAAATCTAAGTTTGAAAAAGAATTTCCTAACATTATATTCGGAGTTCATAAGTTTAATATTATCATACAGAATGAAAATAACTGATAACTTTAACTGGACAATAATCGTTATTATGCAACAACTGACTACAATCAGTTAAGATGTGGATGTTTTAAAAAAAAAAAAAAACCTGAGCTGGAAATCAGCTACAATCAATGCATTACTTCTCTTTGCACACCCCACCAGTGGGGGGGTTAGTAACTTAAAAACAATATTTTTCATGTAGACATAAAGTCCTTAATCTACCAAATCAGCCTCCTTAGTTTATAAGAAAAAAAGAAGTTAAAGACTTACACTTTTATCGTGGGGTAACCTCGAACGCCAAACTCTGACGCCATTCCTGTAATTCACAAAAATAAAGCCCAAACAGGATCAGATCAAAGAACTACACTGTTTTTTTAAATGGGGTAATTAAGTCATATATTGAACATCTCAATAGTCATCTAGACACAATTAAAAGGAAAGATCCAAAACATTTTTGTAAAGAAGATAAAATATGTTAGAGATCATTATCTGAACACAGAAAAGCCCTGAGGCGACATGTTGAAGAGGCTTGTGATTTACTCACCAGAGTAAGCAGTGGCGTCCATCTTTCCAACACGTACTGGTGACCCGGAGCTCTTCAGCTCTGCTCCCACCTCCAACCATACTGGCTCCAGCTTTTTACAGTAACCGCACCACGGCGCGTAGAACTGGAAACAGAAACGATCAAGGGAGGGAGGTTATCTTCAGGGAAAAGTAAACTCCTTGCTGCATCATATAGAAAAGAAAATTGGATTTTTTTTTTTATTTATCTTATCTGAGAAATCAAGAAACTCTTTGTTTTCCGATTTTGGAATTTCCTAATTCAAGACCAAAATCCAATGGCCAGCATGTATACAGACCGTTGAGGTTTTTTGTGTGTATCATTTGAAAACAGCCGTTTCTATTTATCCAACTCATCTTTTTTTTCAATTAGTGTGATGAGCTGCAACATTTATTTACCCCAGATCATATTTTTATCATCTTTTATCATGTTTTTATCTTTATTTGCTTTTATTCATTCTTCTATGTTATTGTTTAATTCATTTAAAGGCACTTTGAATTGATTTTGTACCGAATTGTTCTATAAAAAATAAATTTGCCTTGCCTTAAGTGTGACAAAAGAACTAAAATAGAAAAAATATGCATGGTAAAACCCATTTCATTGCTGCTAAATTTACCAACTCATTAGAATAGTCTTGCTGCAAACTGCAGAGAACAAACAGTTTTCCAGTTTGAGCGTTTTGGGTAAGAAAGGAGAAAACTTGCTGACAGGGCAAGTACCACCCCTCATCCGTTACAGAAAAAAAAAAAAAAGGAAACTTGATGGCGACATTTATTGTAGCACAGAAAGGTTGATCATTCATGATTGTCAGACTTTGTTTTGTTACTTAATCATAAATCTGTTTATGACACATTTATTCCAGGGTACCTAAAGTACCTCTGATATATTCTACAAATATTAATCTAACTCCTGATCTTGTATATAAAGCTTCTGCCAAAGCGATAAACTAATCAGAACAATATAGGTCCATATAGGTAAACAAACTGGGTTTTGCTGCATTGCTCATGCCATAGACAGATTGTGGTCTTTGATGGAGATCAAAGCACCAGATTCATACAAGAACCGAGCTGGAATGTTGCATCTATATATGTCAATACATGTTACACAGAATAAAATGATCAAACTAAAGGAATGCAGCATCACAACAAAGAATATAAAGGGAAGATCATGCAGCTTTGCATTTGGGAAAATAGGGAGAACAAGAAGGCATCAGAGACACAGCTAGCTCCAAGGTTGTCTTTGTTATGCAAAAGCATTGAATATCAACCTTCAGGCTTAATACTGAATGTATTCTAACCCTTAAATACAAATCTATTGTAACAAATAGCGAGATAATAAAAAATATGTAAGCAACTGCCAATTTAAACTTCTTTTAGTGGCAGATGGTGATTTTTAAAAGGATTTCATAAGGAGAAAAAAAGTGTTAAAGGCCTTTTAACGCTAAAATCATATTTCATGGTAACTTCCTATTTATACCTACCCCTGGTCTGTCTTTTGAGGTAAAACCAGCTGTGGTTAAAACACAACGCTCCTTTAATTGGACACAACATCAATTTTAAATGCTTTATTTTATTAAAACTATGTGTTTTATCAAAGCATATGTCATGACACTGCAAATATTTAAAAAAATTAAAAATCAGAATCATTTATACGGGTTTTAGTGTTGATAGGTACTTTACCGTGCTTGTTATAAAACACGTATGCCCAAAACAAAACTTTACAATTGATAAATGGATTGATTTATCATTATATTTTATTACACGATTGAATAGGAAGCTATTTTATCAGTACTTTTTAAAAAGAATACAGCATCTAGGTCAACAGACATTTTTAATTTAAAAAGAATATATCAAAAGAACTTGAGAACTCTTATTATCCAGTAGGGCTGCAACAAAAGATTATTTTGCAAATCCATTAATCTGTGGATTATTTTTTAGATTAATTGATTAACAATCGGATAGCCAAAGGTTCCTTAAAGAATATTTTTTTACTAAATTAATCCAGATACAAATAAAACCTCTCCACCTGTGGAGTTCTGAATAGAGCATATGGACAGACAAAAAAAAAAGGTTTATTTTGAATGCAAACATTTTTAACAATCTTGGTATAATTTCTACCCTAAATTGGTTGCTATGTCACCTAAAGGCATATTTTTAGAGTCTCTTTACTCCAGTCAACGGTTAATTGATTACTAAATTAGTTGACAATTATTTCAACAATCAATCACGATTAATCCAATTAATTGTTTGTGCCCTATTATCCAGTTTTTCAAAAGGAGATATAATAGACAGTAATGGCTGTGAGTAGGAAGGACTCTGTGCTGCGTAATTATTGGTTCTTAGATCAGATGCTTTGGGTTCAGTGTTAATTGCTTGAAGAATCTGTTTGTACATTTATCTCAAGAGGTTCTCTGGCTTCACAAAAAAATAAATATTCAAAATATTAAATAAATCTGATCTGATCCTCTGCTGCATTTCATTGTAACAACGAAACAACTTTGATTAATACAAAAAGACTTTCTGTCATCATGTTTTTATAGACTCAGAGATAAAACTGCATTTTATTTTCAATTTACTGAACGGTTTACTTGTGTTTCTTTTACATTAATTAGTTACAATCCACTCGGCTCCAATAAATACAGAATGTAGCATAGATGGATTGAGAGTTTGTTCTGCTTGCTTCTCCTGTAAGATCAGTTATCTTAAATAAATTATATATATATAGATATATAGATATATATATATAGATATATATTTTTTAATAGATTTAAAAATTCAAGCTTATGCAACTGCTACAGAAGAGCTGAGAAATCAGATTATCAGAATCAGGTGATTGAGAATCCCAGGGAGTTTACCGGCTGGTAAGAACATTTGAAATCCAACATGTTTTCAATCAGTGAAAGTGCCATATGGAGCGTTACACCTACCAGGCTATGCTGAGTTACGTCAGGATGTTAAAAATAAGCGACGAAGACTTTGTGTTAAAGAGACGCGAAATAAGGTACATCGTCTAGAGCATGTTGAAGTACACCTTAAAACAAGGATGCAAGAGACAGCAGGAATTTTAGCAGAAAATAAGGAGGCCCAGTGCAGATTCCTTCTCTTTTAAAAATGTAAAACTTTCTATTTCTGCCAGAGAAAAAAAAAGATTAATTATAATCTAATTAAGATATTTAACAAATGATCAAGCCTTTTGTTTTAAATATTAAATGAAGGTTTTTCAATGACTTCTCTTTGACTATTAGAGATGAAACATCACATCTGCTCTGAATGGAAACAATATCTGGAATACTGCTTCTTGAGGAGAAATCATATTTGTCTTAAAATTGCTCCTCAAGCTCAACATCCAACATGGAAAAAGGAAATGTCTAAACAGGTGAATATCCAAAAATTGGACTCAAAACTGAATAGCACATTTTAAAAAGTCCTCAATTACTCTGAAAGAAAGTGTTTTCTGGTTAATCCTGTAAGTTTAATATCTGCCACACTGTGACCAACATGCAAATGCAAATATTCAAATAGCCCTCATATCAGAAGTTATTCCTGGTGCCCAGACTAGCTGGTAAAGCCACCGATTTTGGCCCAGACCCAAACTCCACAACTTTAAACCTCTCCAATCCCCCTGGGCTTTTCCCCGCATGCTTGGTCCCTTATCAACCAATCACCAGCCCACGCACGCTCCCCAGCCACTGTCACTTCCGCCACTGGTGATCCAGGCAGCGGCGGGCTGGATGTAAAGTAAACTGGTGTTCAATGGGATTCATGAATCGCTCTGTGTTTGGATGTGCATGAAATATCAGACTCACATCAACCAGCCAGACATCATTCTCTCTGGTGTCCTTAAACCTAGGAAAGAAAAGAGAACCAGAGAAATATTCTGATACACTTCAGCTTAGTAAGATTTTTAAAGACAGTCATTTGTGATGTATTTAACACTTAACGAACTCAGTTTGATGCATTTAAAAACTTGATCAGTCTAAATCAAACTTCATGGCTGTAGTTTTTCTTTCTTCTGATAAAAACAAAACAAACATAAACTAATAAAACTCAAATTTTATCAAGAGAAATGGGCCAATAATGCAGAATATTGACCTTCTTTGCTGCTATAAGTTGAAAATAATTGAAGTTGTGCATGATATTAACAAGCATTGGAAAAAACATCACTTATTCACTGTGCATTTATAAAAAATAAAAACATGTAACTTTACAGAGCTGCATTATTGTATGATCCTGTTTCAATGAAAACACAATGGCTGGAAAATAGAAACAGTAAAAGCATCACTTACGTTTCGTCAAGGTCTTCAACAAAACCAAGCACCGCTGAGCACAAGAAAGCAGCTAGAACTGCAACAATAAGAGAAGCAGAGAAATCAGACATGTTTGAAATGAGAGAGAAAATCTCTGATGACTGAAGCATCCCCTGCTAAAGCTACTGTCGCCCCCCGGCTAACTGTTCCTCAGCCTGGGCCACAGTCTGCACTAGAGCCGCTTAAGTTGTTCTAGAGCCCGCTGGTGAAAGCTTAGGTGCTAAAGCTTTGGTGGAGCAGCTGACAAGAAGGAGAACGTACCTCCACAAATCACGGAAGCTTTCACTTCTGCCATTGCTTCAGGAGGAAAGAGCAAAGCAGGAAACGCTGCTGCTAACGGCGCGCGATCGGCGCATGCGCAGAATGACGCAGCAGTTTGCGGCAGGTTTCCGTTTGGTTCATTTTTATGAAAAAACATATAAAATATCTTTTTAAATACAGTAAAAGAAGAAAATGATCGTTTGAAATGTTAAATCTGCGCATCATATCTGACTTTAAATGTGTGATTTTTTTTTTTTGTGATTTTGCCTTCTGTAAAATAATTTATTTAATTTAATATTTTAGCATAAATTTTATAATTTTCACCTCTCAAATATATGTTGCGCACATTTTCATTCTAATTTCTGCTTTACCATTTTTTAATGTTTTTTTTATCTTTTATTTATTTATTTAACTTTTTCTAATTTATCATTTATTTAAAAAAAAACAACAAAAAAACCCCCGTAATAATAATAAAAATTGCTATTCTTCTCACTTCATTTTTTTGTTTGTCTCCTAATTGTCAAGTTTGATATAAAAAGTTTTTTAATATTCATCTTATAATTTTAACTTTTTTCGTTTTTATTCTCTAAGTTTATTGGCTTATTTGTGTTCTTGATTATTGAATGATCATATCTAGGTAAGTATAGGCCATTTAAAACTGCAATCTACTTTCCTTTTAATGTTTCTTTTTTGTCTTTGGCTGAAATGTGCCACATAAATAAACTTGTCTTACATCTAATTTGAGGTAAGTTGTTTTAATAAAGACAGCTTATATTTTTTTAAAGAATTAAAATTGGAATAGCATTACATGATGAACCTTGTGACATACTGCTTCTGTATATTCTGTTAATGTTATTTCTTTTTTCATAATAATATTTTTTTTTATTCATGACATCAACTTTCTCTAAATTTCCTTGTTTAAATATTTTCAAACCAATATAATTTTAAATGAACTATACAAAATTGTTATTGTTATTTACATTATGGATAATTTAAGAGGGCAAATCTCTTTTTTTTTGCTATTAATTAGTTTCTTTCTTATTAAAATGTTTCATTTATGATTTTGTCTGGTCAATTTCTCTTTTTGTGTTGCACATAAAAACAGCAAAAACAAAATTTGGATTTGAAGAAATACTAAGTTTGAAGTTCATAATTAAATTATTTATCAATTTAAACTTTACTTATCGCCAGTTTATATCTTTTATTTTACAATTTTGCATAGCTTTCTTGCTTTCCTACTTTGGTTCATTTTCTTGAAAATTACAAATATTAAGCTAGGAAATTGACACTATGGTGTAAATAGATCTATAGCAGTCGTTTCATTAAATATTATTGAGTTAATCATTTAGTTATTCAAATAAAAGTATTTTTTACCCATTTATATAGCAATTTGCAGTTTTAACAGTTGTGCATTTTTTGCAGCTTTTTGCTTTACACCAACTTTCTGCTACCAACAATGGCAAACATTAATATCAACATATAATTGTAGATAAATTTAGCATTGCTTTGTGGTAGGTCTCATATGCTTTTTGTTTTCAGACTTATTTTACCTAACGGATTGATAAATACCTTTGAATCAGAATGAATAGTAAAAATAATTTCAAATATCAGCCACAAGGTGTCCCTCCAAGTTAATGGCTAAGTGCAAGCTTACCAACTTAAATTCACTTTATTCCTGTATAGGCTCTTTTTGTGACACAAACAATAACAAACTTGTTGTAATCTGATAACCAAACAATATTACAAATGTTCCTGCAGTAAAGACATTATTTGAATGTGAATTCCTACATTCTGCTTAGGTGCAAAATTGACCCTTTATCCATCAATATTCTGCCATACTCATAAACAAAACACAAGAGCAGCATGTATTTTACTGAAATATATTTATTTGTTTGAGAAAAAATTGAGTGATAATCTGTATCTCATAGAACTTTTTTATTTTTAAGATTATCAAACAGCTTCATAATTAGAGTTACCTTCATTTAAGCATATTCACTGCAAAATTATTTGCCAGAACAAACAATAACAAATCGCAAAAGGTGGCTTAATATAAGAGATATTTTTATGTATTTTGTTACATCATACACCATCTTGCTTTTACTATATAACTCCTAAAGTCCTTCCTGGCCCATTAGGCACAGTGATATGTATCAACATTCCAAAGAAACAGAAGTACAGGGAATTTGTTCCTGGTATATTTACTTTGCTGCATTGCCCTTGTTAAGAACCACCACAGTCACAACTTCATGCATGGGGTTTAAATCTGAAAGACTTGCAATAAACACCTAATACATTGTTGGTATCTGATGGCTTTCGATTTTAAATTCAACTTAGTTTATTTATATAGCGCAAATTGACAACACATCATCTCATGGCTCTTTACAGAGACAATTCATCATACAGTCAGATTGGGTCAAAGTTTTCTATCTAAGGAAAACCAGCTGATTGCATCGACTCAATGACTTTCAAACAGACCTTTAAAAAAAAAAGCTTCTGCAAATGTGCTCCTTCAAAAAGATAATCTCTAGCTAAAGTAATAATGGATGAAATACTGTTCTGACTTAATGAGCATGAAGCTGTTGTTGTGTTTCATCCTTAATAGAGCTTTACTTTCTCACGGGTGTGAATAAAGATCAAGCCTGTGTTGCTAAATAGACTCATGCAGAGGACATGCTCCTGGCACATGTGCCAAGTCTGCAAGGGTTGAATGCTTTTTATTTGCAGGGGGGGAAAAAATGGGCATGAGAAGTTAGCTTACAGAGATAAAAACATCTAAAACCATCCATACATACAATGATCCTTTTAGCTCCAAGTGTTCAGAACTGTAGGTGTCTTCTTTATAGCGGCATGACCAATGAAGAATTTTCTTTTTAGCATAGAGCATTCAAACAACCAAAGTGATTTGTCTGCTTCAGATAAAGGATTCTTGTTTATCCATCCTGGGCCAAGCTGCAGAATCCCACGCTCAAAGAAAGCTGACTGAGCCCACTCATGTCATGTCACAGGGCGGGACAGAAATGACTTCAGCAGAGCTGGAAAACAAAGCCTCCATTGCTCCGTTTCATCATTTCTCCAACAGCAGCAAAAGCACTACGGTGGTTTAGCTTTTGTTGTTAGGGTTCACATTCATAAGATTATTTGTCACCAAGGAAAAACATTATTTACATATTCTATAACTGAGACAAAAATAACAATTCAAGGAAACATCATTTTCTGGTTTTGGAAATAAAATGATTCTTTAGATCTATGTTTATTTAATATAGGCACATTTAAACAATTCCCAATTGTTCATGTGGGGAAAAAAGTACATTTTAAAAAAACCTTTACATAATTTCCATTAAGCCACATTATTGTATTAAAAATCTTTCTATTATCAATCTGATGTTGTCATGTTGTTAGCTGAGAGCAGGAAATAAAGAAAGAAATGCTGGAAAATGGCATTTATATAATCAATAATAATGTGTTCAAAACTGTTTTTTAAAGTCTCAACTATCTCAATATTCAGTGCTATTTTGCTCTATGTCACAGTGGTCAGAAAAATTAAATACTCTGCAATTCCTCAGTACTCCATTTATGTGGGGAAGTGACAAAAGTGTTAAATCTTGAACTGAGTTATTTAAATAAAATAAGTTTTTTAAATAATATTAAAATGTATTGAATTTCTCTGAGGGGCTGCACAGTGGGCTAATTTTCACAAGATGGTTCCAGGTTCGATTCCCAGGGTCTTTCTGCATGGAGTTTGCATGTTCTTCCTGTGCATGCATGGGTTCTCTCCGGGTACTCCGTCTTCCTCCCACAGTCCAAAAATATGACTGTTAGGTTAATTGGCCTCTCTAAATTCCCCTTAGGTGTGAGTGTGTGCTTGAATGGCTGTTTGTCCTGTTTGTCTCTGTGTTGCCCTGCGATAGACTGGCGACCTGTCCAGGATGTACCCCGTCTCTTTGGCCCCAGATAGCTGGAGATAGGCAGCAGCACCCCTCGCGACCCCAGCAGGGATAAACGTGACAGAAAATGGGTGGATGGAGGTTTTGCTCTGTCTTTGGTGGTAACTGAACCAGGAACTAAGCTTGACCTGCAGAAACTTCAACTGGAACAAAATACTACCTGCTTTCAAGCTCAATGGAAACTGCATCATCCTGAAAATTGTTGGTAGATAAGAGTTAAAAGAGACACAATCCCAACACTGATACACACCAAGTGATACTGAAAACACCTATTTTAATGCATTGCGATACTGGACAGGATCTCTGTACCAGCAAATCCCTATTTCACATCAGGACTAACAACACTGATGCTATATCTCTAGTTTTGGCCAAAGGGTTATCTCAGGAGAGGAAACTATTTTCTTCTAGTCTGTGTTAAATTGGCTTTCACATCACAGAATTGTTTGCTAAATCACAGACTTTACAATGAAAAGAGATAAAAAGTTTAGTTTAAAGAAGAAGACAATCAACTCCACAGATGCATTACAAATAGTAAAGCAGGACAGGGATTTAAAAGTGCAGCTCAGAAGATATAAAATAGTCCAGTCAATTAAAATGATTGCTGGTCATTAATGTTAAATGGTCCAATAAATTACAGCTGTGCTGAAGCTTTAACTTATGTGTGATGCCTCTGCAGGGTTTAGTTCGGTTAAAATACTATATTACAATTTTTAGTAAATGTCTCCATGTAGCTTCACAACCATGCTACAAAAAGATATCTGCATCACTTATGATACAAGAGGTAAGACTCCAGATGAGGCACACTGGTGATGTCCCGTACAGGGATAAAGGGAGAGGCTGCAGCTCCCTTTCGAAGTTCATCAACTCTGGAAGCTGCTGCAATCAGGAGCAGCATTGAACCAGAGCAGCTATTTGCAGCGCTGCATGGTTCAGTTGATCTGGAGGTGAAATATCCGTCCTCAAGGGTTTTATTCCAGGATGTCCGTTTCAAATGGGACCAGGTGATAGTAGGAAAGGTTGGTGACATATGCCTCTGTCTCCTCATCACACACGTCTGCTTCCATTGGCAGAAAATTTGTCCCATCTTCATACCTGGGGAAAACCCAAAACAGTCAAAAGTTTAGTAAATGTCATAATTTATTGTTTGCTG